AAAAAAAAAAAAAAAAAAAAAATATTACCAGAAACGGTAAAAAAATCGCTTTTACGCAGCAAGGTGTACGAAAGCGCAATTTCAAGTGGAAGTTTCAATTAGTTTTTTTTCTGCTCTTTATTCCGACTGTGGTCAAAGAATAGCGGAAGTTGCTTTTTTTTTTAAATGCGGAATTCGCTATACAAGAAATAAAAGCCAAAAATATTTACATACATACATATACTACATGAAACGTGATCTGTATGTGTTTATTCAAGTCGAAAGTGGAGTGATTTTCGGGTGTCGACAGTTAAAGTGCTGTCATTGAACCGGAAAAAGTTTTCATTACAAATATTTAGTGCCTTCTTTTGTTATTATTTTTCGCATAATTTATCAAATTATTGTGCTGGTGTGTTTTTAGAAAAATGAAAGTGTACGCAAGCAAAATGGTAATTTTTTTTGAAATCTCTAGAAAACGTAACTTTTACTCAATAAAGTGCTTTTTTTTGGGTTAAACTGGTTTATAGGTTAAGTTCGGTTAGGTTAGGAAGGCAAGGTGCCTATGAATTACTCGTATTTCCACTCGGAGGCAAACTTGCAGTCTACAGGTGGTGCATCCTTCTAACCGAAATAACCCTATTGTCAGTATAGTGTCTGTTAAACCAGTTGTGGAGGTAATAATTTTCGACATCTAAGTTGGCCTTTATTCCGTTATGCCGTCCACTATTAAATACCTTAAAGACCGCTGCGTGCCCGTAATTGGTCTGCTTCCAAAATCTTATAAAAAATCTTTTGGCGTGCTTGAACGGTGGCGCCAAAGGCGAGCTTAGACGCGAGCAAGCTGCTTCGACCAACCCATTAATCTTTTGGGTGAAAACTCATTCTCAGTTTTAAAACGGTTTGGAATACAGGTTTTGCCACTCTTCACTAGGCGTTGGTTGTCCTGAGAAGAAGGATGCAAGAATACATCACGGTGAAGTACCTGGTTTCTAGCTTGGATTTCGAAGATCTAAAATCTATGTACGCTATTGCTCCACCGACTGCAACTCACCTAATGGAAAATCGCTTGATCAAAATCGACCTATACAGCCCAGCGAACTCCTCACCCGATTGAGTCATTCAAACATACTATAAATTACCACCAGAGCTTGACTCCAGCTTAAATGGAGTCCCTACACGGTGAGTTAATTGAACCGATTGACTGACCCCAGCTTTTGTTAAAACTGACTGACCGTGTAGCGATTCCCTAAGGGTTACTGGTTTAAAAATGCTCGGAGCGTACAACAAAACTTCGCCAGCGGCTAATCTCTATTGTTGAAAGTTCCTTAGTTAGGTTAGTAAGAAAGAAGTAAGACCACGGCTGTTTAAGACCCAAGCTCGCGAAATCAGGCCTCGAACTAGTTACGAGATACGTAATTTGTTTTGCCTTAAGAGCTCCTTAGGCCGCGTTCGGCCAACCTGCGGTCAGTAGAATGTAGCAATCTTAAATTCCAAGGCTTCCATTCGTCCAGAAGCACACCACATGTAGCCAGTGAAGCATCCATTATTTCCCTACTCGTCGACAATTCCTCAAGGGTTACTAGCTCATCGGTCAAGCCTTCAACCTGATGATGGTGATATGATGCGACCGAGAGAGAAATCAGGTATTTCCTGACACTTCCGGACCATATAGCCAAAAAACCCATGACCCTGATTGACACCTGGCTTTCAGAATATTTGTACATATGCTAACCTCCTACATTTCTAAGCAACCAGACCGCCTCTATTTATTACAGCTGCTTTCGCATGAGAAGCATGACAGTGATCCAGGAACCTTAAATTGAGGTTGATGGTGAGTTCCTCGGCACTGGCAGCATATTCCAGTCAAGACCAGACACTTAAACCCTTTCATCTCCCTGTGAAAAGAACAACTAACGAGATTTCAGCTAAGCTCAGGTAACCCGCCTTAAAACTATCGGTGCTATGTCGTACTTATAAGGAACCAAACGTCAGCCGTTTTTCAGCGAAGTTTCCAGCAGCTCGTTGACGGCCCAAAGTGAAATTGGCAGAACGCGCCTTTGTAGCTTATCTCTGCTCATTTTTCTCTGAATGGAAGGGCTGCCCAGTTCTACGCACCACTTCTTCTGCAAACCATGCGAGAAATAAATCAAGCAAGGTCACCATCGAGATTCAGTTTATTTTTGGAGTTCACGATTGCATCGATAACAAAAAAGGCGCCAACCGAGTAGTACTGGGTACGAGTGATCTCCATAAAGCTATTTCTGATGATCTGCCATTGCACTAGGCATGCTGAACAAACGTTTACCCTTCAGGAAACATTTTTACTCTTAACCAGATCAAGACCTTTAGTACACTTCGCTATCTAGCTTATTGTAGAAAGTTTTATGGCTCAAAAGGAGTCGACACCTTTCTGGAGAGGTTTTCTTCTAATCATCTCCGGACTGAATCCCAGCCAAAAGCGGAACAAATACTAGTTATGTCATAGGAACATCTTGAATTGGCTTCTGTCGACTTCTCTTTTGATGTTATCTTCCTTGTGACACATATTTTCTCCACCATTGGAACCATTTTTTTTCTTCGTTGGTATTTCAGATTAAGTTTGACTTTTATTACACAGATTTTAAATAACCGGAAACTTTGATTGGTAACTAACTTCTATCTTTCTCTACTTTTTTCAATCTCATTACAGACGACTCTCAAAGCACTATTGAACGCACCTCTTCAACGCCAAAATGGAGAAATCCATACATTCGACGCCAGCTGGTAAAGTTTCGCAAATTGCGAATCTTTTCCAGCGTAAACCTATCGAAATACAGCCGGTGGAACAGTTAAGCGCCGCTGCAGCTGCTGCTGCCGCTGCCGCCGCCGCCGCCGCAGCAGTTAATCAACAACAACAAGCCATTGGTGTTGGAATACCGGCTACAGTTGTACGCACCGAATCTCATTCTGCTCGTTTCAATAATGCACGCGCGCTTTTCGAAAAGCTCGGCGTGGAGAACAATTCGAATTCGAATGTGAAAATGTCACGTTCCGGCTCGCGTGACGATAATCTTTGTGAAGGCAATAGCTCGGATCGTTCATCGTCGCGTTCCTCAGATCGTTCGATATCGCCACCGAAACGTCGTTCACCCTTTCCACCAGGTTGCAATGTAGCCGCTTCATTGGCGAACAATAATAATTGTGCACTGCAAGTTAATGGCGGTTTAGCGCTGAGTAATAGTAAGTTTATCGTAGAACCGGGTATGAAGCTACATCACAATATTGCACGTCACAAATCCGAAGACGGTGTGCTAAGCAGCTCATCAGTGGTCGGCGGTGTTAGTGCCATACTATCGGCTGGTGGTGGTAGTGTCGACAAGCCGGAGAAACCGGAACGTAAATTTAATTCACGCGAGCTAATTGAGAAACAAAAGAAATGGACTTCACATTTTACGAAAACAAAATCAAATCGAACGCATAGCGACCAAAATCGTTGTGACATCATCCGAACTGTGCCAGGCACAACGCTCTTTTCCGGTTCGGCCATACAAATGAAGGATAAGGAAAAGGAGAGAGAGAAAGAGAAAGACAGGGAGCGTGAAAGGGAGCGTGAGAAAGAGAACGCCAATATTGCCGTTACCGTTGCCACCGCCTCCCCAAACGTCAATCACAAGCCAACCGCTGCCAATGCGGCTGTAACCAGCATGGAACAGCTACGTTCACCCATTTTGGCTGCTGCACAACAGCATCAGCAAGCACAGGATCATCCACCCAGTCCACCGGTACGTCACACTGTCGTACCGCCTGAGATAAAACCGCGTAGTACCAATAAAATTGGTAGCCCCATTAAATCGCCACCATTGCCACCCATACCAGCTGCCAAACCGAAGAACCTAAGTCCAATTAAGTTTAACCCAGAACGTGTACGTTCGCCCACAAAACTGGCTGATGCAACGCAGCCACCTCCACCACCTGCCAAATCGGCTGCTGTTACGGCAGCTCTACAGCGTTCACTTGATGAGCAACAACAAGCAACAGCCGCAGCCGCTGCCTCGACAACTGCACCTGTACCACCAGAAAAGCCACGCAAAAAATCTATTGATCTCATTGAGGGTGAGGATAGGCTAACGCCATCTTCGCCCACTTCAGCGACATTCCAGTACGTGGCCATAGCCGCAAAGCGTGGTTCGGTGGATAGTTTGGGTGGTGGCGCAAATGGCCTGAGCGGTAGCATTAATTCGGCTACATCATCTTCGCCAGCCGCCAGCGCTTCGTCGGGTCCATGTTCACCTGTCTACACCGAAGACGAGAAGCAAGAGAATGAATCGACTGAGAAATCAGAAATGCACCAGTATTACAACAGTATGCCACGTTCGCGTCGCAGCGATAACGAAGGTGAGTGCAGTGCTAGTTTTTGTTGTTGTTTATACTACATGTAGCATCATATGTAATTATGGAGAGTGTGGGGCTCCTTACACTGGTATTCGGAATACCAATTTATCGACGAGACAATTTGTATAGTGAATCATCCGCAAGCCCTTAACACTTACAGCGACCATCCGTACATGATTGCTAAGAACAGTCCTCTTCTGCGGTTCTTTATCTTGGATGTGGCTTTTTATTTTTGGAACTCCGTAAAATTTATTCTTACCGCGCATTAAGGAGCGTTTACATTTTTAGATTTGAGTTAAAAGTGTTTTTGTTTTTTTGAAATTTTCTTCTGTTTCCATAACCGCTTGGAGTATACTTTGTCGAAGCATGTGCATTCATCGCTCTTATTGAAATATGATGAAAAATAGATCAAAAGAATATAGAAGGTTTTGCATAGCTAATTTTATTCCACCGCTAAGAGTTCGCGGAAGGGATTCATCATTGGTCACCGGACAGGACCACCCTCTTTATCTTTCGATGCGTAGAAGGCTGTGAGTGTTCCTCGTTCTTCAGTTGAACCTTTTCTTCCGTGCATTCCATTAAACAGTGGTGATACCAACCGCTTGATTGTCCCGCGTAGAGGTAAAGACTCAGATCTGTTTTCAATAATTCTCGGCCTGTTTTGGTTGCTCGCCTGAAAAGTGGGTTCTCTGCTCATTTGGGGTTGGCTGGTTCAATAAAAACCGATCTGAGACATTTTTGTGTCCAATAGAAATTTGTATAGAACAGCAATTTATAGGTTATTTTTCTAGTAATAAATAAAAATAAGAAATAAAAATAAATTTTTCGTCCAGGACCCCAGACTGCACTCGTTGAGCATCGCATGGTCAAATTGTTTAGAACAGTTCTCAATACATTTGCTACTTCCCAAAAGATATTATTGCACTGAAGAGAGTAGACGGTGATCAAGAAACCTGCCACATGAGAGCCTGAGTGCGGTAGTACGGTAGACGCAGGATTACGTTTCGTATTATTTTTTTAAGGGGAATATGAAACACTTATGATAAAACTGGCTGCTGGCCTGTGTAATTTTTCTTATTTGGTCTCAATCGTGGTTTTGTTAAGCGTCGTACACTATACAGTTATCCCAAAGTGAACAATGGCTTTTACTACGACAGCTCTTTTGTCTCTAGGAGCCTTGTTTGTATAAAGGGCACGGAAAGCTTTTCTTTTTCATTCTTCAATATTTCAGTTTCTGTTAAGCTTTTTATCCCGTGTATGAATAAATAATGAATCAATGAATTTCTTAATTAATTTTTACTTCGAGAATATGGTTGCAGAGGGGCCAATAGTCCCAGATCTGACAACGTTTTTTGTTTGATACCAAACGAAAGTTTGGGTGCCAGATCCAAAAAACCGTTGCATGTTATAAGTTCCTAAAAATTGAATGGAACTAAAAAACTATTTTTCTTTTTAGAACAATAAAACCTTAAAATGATAAGAAAATTGAATAAGAATTATTAAAAAAAATATAAAAAATAAAAGATAAAAAATATAAAAAATACAAAAAATATAAAAAATACAAAAAATATAAAAAATACAAAAAATATAACAAATACAAAAAATATAAAAAATACAAAAAATATAAAAAATACAAAAAATATAAAAAATACAAAAAATATAAAAATGCAAAAAATATATAAAAAACCAAAAAAAATATAAAATACAAAAAATATAAAAAATACAAAAATATAGAAATACAAAAAATATAACAATACAACAAATATAAAAAATACAAAAAATATAAAAAAATACAAAAAAATATAAAAAATACAAAAAATATAAAAAATACAAAAAATATAAAAAATACAAAAAATATAAAATATACAAAAATATAAAAATATAAAAAATACAAAAAATATAAAAAATACAAAAAATATAAAAAATACAAAAAATATAAAAAATATAAAAATATAAAGATATAAAAAATATAAAAGAATTATAAAAAATAAAAATAAAAAAACAATACAAAATTTCAAAAAATAAAAAGAAATAAATAAATAAAAATTGGGAATTAAATAAAAAAAGGTTTCTAAAAATTAGGTGAAATTAAAAAGCATTTTTTCTTTTTAAAACAATAAAATCTAAAAATTTAAAGAAAACTAAGTGAGATAATAGTAAATACAAATACATTAAAGCAAGCTTTCTAAATATGAACAAAATCGGACCATAAATACTGGTTTACCAAATATATCGACTCGTTGTAGCCGCTACAACAACAACAACAGCTCGTGCACCAGCTATCGGCATAACTGTGAAATTTCAAGTCTCTACGTCATCGGGCAGTTGGTCAAAAATGGATTGGAACATTTGCCCCTAGAAATAAAAACTTGTAAAAAGAAAAAAATATATATAAAGTTCCCAAAAATTCAATGAAACACTTAAACAAGTACTTTTTAAGCAAAAAACAAAACCGACTTCAAGTCTCATATAAAAATATAAGATTGACGTTAATTTCTTCATGATCCAATGATCGGGCATTTCATAATATTGTCGTTTTAAGCAACCAACAGATTTTCAGGGCAACCATGTCCCCTGACAAAGTTTTAAAGGGCAGAGAATGTGCCTTTTTTTGCCTTACAAGAGTGTGACATTTTAAGAAACGAATACAAATACATTTCTCACTCTTTGCCTTTAATTTAGAATCAAACACGAAAAAAGAAAGGGACAATCAAAAAGCAACATTTTTTGGTATAAACGAAATCACCATTAGCCAGAATTGCCTTGTTAGATAATTTGTAGAATTACTCACCGACCACTTTTCATGGTAAAAAATCCTAACTATGAGCGGAATGCATTAATGCCTCAGTAAATTTTTACGATTTTTATTCTCTTCGTAACTAGTTTTTATCTTCCATCTTCTGAAAAATGGAAATGGCCATTGTAGTATGAATAGATTTGAAAAGTTCATTCTCAGCAAGTCCGCTCACGGTTTGAATACAAATATTTGAAATCTAACTCTTTTTTTTTTCTTTTTTGAGGATGTAATGCCATTGCTCTGCTGCAGCTAAAACATCTGTGACGTCCGTGTCTAAAAATACACACAGCTCAGCCCTTTATGGCACAAAAGTAAACCGCTAAACAGCACAATTTTTTTCATATTCATATTCATATTCATATTTATACTCATATCCATTGAGTTCAAGCACCTTGCGACCACACGGTTACCGGCTAAAATATTGTCACTAAGCTGGCGGCTTTTGGCGCTCTTCAACGCTTACTGCCCTTACCCAAACACTTGTTTGCAAACAATTGGTAGGCACTATTCTGCTGTTGACATAGAAAAAGGTAATTCATTGTAATTCAAAGCACCTTTACCCCAAACCACCACCCGATTACAATAACAGCACCAGCAAAAGCACCTATTCGGCGCAACATTATACATCCGTTCGTTTGACTCAGCCCATTTTGGCGAATGCAAACTGTGGCTGCCGATTGGCGGGGAAAGCGAGAGGAGGAGGGGAGGGGAGGGTAGTGTCATGGCAGTGTGCTGCTGTGGGGTAGGCAAAACCGGCAGACAAATTCCAATATGGGTCAAACATCATATCAACAGCAGCGACATAAACACAAACACAAATAACCACAACAACAACAATAACAAAGCGAGCACCAGTAGACACAAAAAAGCGACAACAATGACAACAATGACAACAACACATTCAACACATTTCAAATGCAGCCATCGACGGCGGTGCATCTGGTACATATTTTCCATGTATTCTAGTTTATTTTATTTATTTATTTTGTTGTTGTTGTTGTTGTTTTGCATATTTGTAGCGCTTGCATTTGTTGTCCGCATTGTACACTACTGTCTGCAATGGAACATTCAAGTCGCCCTCCTCTCCCCACCTTCATCATAACCACACTTTTCCATTCACCTCATCTCATCTCCACCTCCTCCAACTGCCGTTTGTCCCTTACTTCTGATTAAGCATTCGCCGCTTATTTGGACTGCACTTTGCAAGCTCAGCCTCAAACCCTGCCCCCTGCCCCTCTCTTCCACTGTGTTTCTGCCAGATTGCGTTTGGCTGGTCTCGTGTTGGTTGGTGTTGGCATCGTTTTGTTGTTTTGTGTTGTGTGTTGAATCTGTGTGTGTGTGTAAATAGGCTTGTTGAGGCACCTTCTTCACCGCATTTGCAGCGGCTCGTATCGCCTCGGTATCTCGTTGAAAATTGTATTAATGCCAGATTAAGAATTCCGCTTGTAATGATGCGTTTCTGATTAAGCATTCGTTCGCGCTTTTGTTTATACAACAGCGTGCATTGCACTGTACACTGAGAAAAGTTGAAGGTTGAACTTAATTCATTGTATGTATGTATTTATACATATGTACATATGTAATGCGCATATTACTTGTTGCTAAAATTAAATATACTTTCATATGAGGAGAGGATGAAGAATGTTGGAAAACCTACAAAACTAGCGATTATGTAAAAATCGGTGCAAAAGTTTCACGCAGGGAATTCCAAGAAAAAAAAAATTAAGTAAAAAAAACGTGTTGAAAAATCCATGCTAACCGAATTACGACTGCGATCAAAAATTGATTTCTACGAAAGTTGTTTTATTCCGTTGACTTGGAATCTTCTATATAAGTCTGTATGCATATTAGGGTGGTCCTTAAAAATAACATCACGCGACATCCTTTTATTTTGTTCTGCGTAAAATATAAAGACATCTATGAAAAGTTCTAAGTTAAAAAAAATAAAAAAATTTGTTTAAATCGCAAAAATTCGACAAAAGTGTGATTTTGAGCAGCTATATTTATGGATGTATGAATTTATATGAATAAACTTTAAAAATGTGTAAAATTTATAATACCTTAATTAAAAATTTTGTAGATTTTTTTACGATTTAAAAAAAATAAATTTTTTCAAACCCTTCATTTTATACGCAAAAAATTATGATTATTTTTATGGACCACCCTAGTGTACATGCTTTCTCAATACCCCATATGAAAATTTCATAAAAAAGTTATGTACATTTACGGAAAATTCTAAGTCAACGGAAA